TTTTGGGAGGGACGGGTTGCTATCTCACTTGATGCGGTCTCCTCTACAAGGATAATCTGTAATAGTTCATGTGTCTTAATGATAGGATAAGCACAAGAAAACTTTTAAGGCTAGATAGTATGTGAGAAAGCAAGTTTATATAAGATGGTACCTCTCAATTTTAAAAATGCCTAAAAAGCAAAAACTACCAGAAATATTAGTTGTAATGGAAACCTTTGCAACTTCAACAGTCCTCTGGTAAATCTCATTTTAATGCCTACTACAAATGAAACTAAGACTCAAGAAGAAAAAATCTAGACACAGATTTCATTCCATCTGTTGCGCGTGATATCACTCTACTCAAGTCCTAGAACAATAATTAATGTAAAAGGTTACAGTTTCCTCACTCTTTGGTCTCAATGATAAGGGTATATTAACAAATTAGATGCATTAATAGATGTTTTAAGGCTTGACCAAGATGGATGCCTACCAGACAAAGCAACAGCTGCTGAAGCCCCATGTTGGCAAGCCAGATCAAAATGTTCCACAGGCTGTAGGTTGCCAACCCCTGCTCTAGAAAACAGAGGGTGCAGACAAGTGCAGCTCCCAGCTGTAACTGGGAATGATTTTTGCAAAGTGTGTTACAAGGTTACCCCAAACCAAACAAGTTCACTGTTAGATGGGGGTGGTGAGAATCATGCTGCAGGCTGAGAGCATGCAGCCAGGTTCCCATAGCAATGGCCAGGGCTCTCTGTCAGTGCTGGCTGTTTTCAGAATGGGAAGGGGGAAAGGCAACAGAGGGAGCTTGTTCTTGGGGCTCCCCAGCTGGTGCTGAAGGGTGGGGTGGGTGAACTGGAGGCCCCCCTCTGGCCTGGGCAAGACCCCCCAGACTGAACTCCCACTGCTCCCCTTCCCCACCTCCCATTCTGAAAACAGCAACAGGCTGGGAGCTCACAGACACAAACTGCAAAGATGCTACATTTTGAAATGTCTATCTGATACCTCATGCAATGGAAAGGGTCAGGTTTTCACCCTATCAGCCTTTTTTGGCGCTGTTTCCAGCTGTACACTTGTTTGGTTACAGCTACAAACTGCTTTCTGTGGCCAGATTGGGCAAAAAAATGTCACTTCTGTCCGCAGCCAGACTGCTTTCAGCTTATCAAAGGAGTATCAACAAAGTTCAACACAAAAACTTGTTCTTTTAGTGATAGTCACAAGAGGAGAATAAGAGCACAACAAAAACCATATTTGGGACCAAATTGTATTCCACCTATTAGTCCCCCAAGTGCAATTTATTCCACGCTGCTCAAATTCTGAAAACACTGAGCATTGATGTGACATGGATTAACAAAAAACATGACCAGAAGGTGACTCTGAAAGGAAACACCCACTAGAGTAAAATGTGCAAAGAATGCTGCACAGAGAGCCTCTAGATAACTCAGATCCATGTTCAAACATTTCAAGTCTTATCTGCACAGAGGGACTCATAGCAGAGTATTCCTAAAACTGACAAACTACATTCCTAATCTAGCATGTCTGCCCATTTTTAAATATACAATTTCTATACAGGTTAGATTCTTATATTGACATTTGATGCATCTAGTCTATTACCTGCAAAACAACGCAGCACTGAATGAAGTCATCAAAAGCAACTTGTCCTCTGCCTTGTCGGTCAAATTTCCGAATGAGGATATCATAGAATTGCTCAGATAGTCGATATCCTTAGAAAAAAAGATACCAAGATTTATATGGCCAATGCCAGGTAGTGTGCATTAAAGTTATTAGTGTGCGAGACATGTTTAAATTACATTGCAGAACAGAAATCAATATTAAATGTATAAGCAGTTAAATGGATTAATTAGAAGCTCAAAGGGTGTTTACAGGAAAACACATGCTGTATCTAAATGCAGGCAATATGAACACACAAAGAAAAAATGGAAGCTCTGTGAAATTAATATTACACCTCCCATTAAACAATTATGGGGTTAAAAGTACAAAGGCAAGCATTTAGCACTGTGCTCATATTTTGCAGCAACATTTTAATTCCCATTAAATTGAAGAGAGTTGAATAACCAAGGTTCTCTTCTCAAATCAGGAAGTGAATCCAACTGTTCTTTAACTGGGTGGCCTAAGCTGTTATT